TTTTTACAATGTTTTTAAAACTGTAAAAAAAATAATGATAAATAAATGTTGCATTTATTTGATCAAAAATGCAGTAAATTAGGGCTGGGCAATACAGGAAAAAAATTATCACAATAATATCATGTTTAATATCAAACCCTATCAATAATTATTGCATTTTTCTTTTTTACAATCCATTTCAAAACATTGTTTTTTTTAATTAACCATTTTCTAATAATTTAATTTAATCCACATTACTAAGGTTAGTAGTTTTCATAGTCAAAAACAATAAATAAACAAAAATATTTTGTCTCTTATGTCTCATAATAAAACACACATAAGTGCTAACTGTAAGTTAGAATGTTATAAAGTGTGTGCAATGGTGAGGCATAAACACTGAACAGTCAAAGCAAACTTTAAGGTTGATTAACATCTCTAAGGTGTCTAACAATCACACAGTAACACAAACTTTATTAACAAAAATTATGAGAATCAAATCTGAGCTTTCAAGTAAAGGAACCAACCATCATTATTCAAATACATTGTAAAGTTGAATGACTACATTACCCCTTATGCTACAAAAAACAACTCTTTCAGATGGGGTGTTAGTGGCGGGGATGCACGAGAAAAGAAACCAAAAAGCCAGTCTGGCGACATCCATTTTTATGTACAATCTCTTCACTGCTGCTTGCCACAGCACTTATTTTCATGCATGTTGTTATTCTGACTTGAGGTGGCAAAACCCAACCGGAGTTTGTTCACATGATGCGTCTAAAAGCATGTGAAAAGCGCAAGCACATGGATTCGGTTTCCTTCACCATTTTCAATGCGCTTTGTGCTCCTCTGACATTTCTCATAACTACCATCAACCATTTTCTCAGAGGATGACAAATGAACAAACCATTGCTGCCGTTCCGATACTAGTTTGTGTTTATGAAGAGAATGAAAAAAGCACTGCAGTGTTTATGTGCTCTGTGTTTGTCAGAGTCTGCCATTATTACTGAAATGTGTATAATGCCGCTTGCATTGTGCCAAGCAGTGCTCCACAATTGGAAATAAGCTTATTGGCATTCCTTCCAAGGCGCACGCTCAGCAGCCACATTTTAATAAAGCTATATAGTTTCATACCAAAACTTGATGCAAAACTTTTTTTTTTGCATTATTGACAATGGTCTTTAGTCATAGGATATCGATAACATTTTATCGGCTCAGCCCTACAATGATGATGATAATAATAATTAATTTTTTTTGTAAATGGCACATTTCTGGACACCTAAAGTCACCATACAACAAGCATCAACGGCCATACCAATAAAATGTAGTTAATTGTTTTATTTGTTATTTAATAGTTCAAATATCAAGAACATTTAAATCATACATTTTAAATGTATTCATTGAAATCAACCAATTATTGCAAAAATGAAGCAAGTGGCTTTATAAACGACTCTTATGATAAAATTTCCAATTACAACAGATTCCTTCAGAAACACTAATTAATTATGATATCATAATAGGATGATGTTGGAATGATCTGGCAACACTAAAGGCTTGACTAATGAGGCTTATAAAGAAATAAGTTACAGTTTCCAAATCGAACGGTTGATAATTGTAATTATTTGCACAACGTCACCATTCGGATTACATTTGTATCAATTAAACGGCGTAAGACATTTCTAGTTTGGCAGCATCTGCAGAGCTGGTACATTCTGTCCTTTTAAGTACAACACTAGGTGTTCTCATACCGCTGTGGAAGGGAAGAAAGGCTCTTCGTTGCTCCTGGCTGAAGTAACACTTCTCCCAAAATTTGACGATCTCTGATCTGATTGTGCGAATGACACGCTCAATGTTTTTCTTCTTCAGCCCCTCCATTCGCTGAAACTCTGCCTGCAGCTAAGAGAGAGAGAGAGAGAGAGAGAGAGAGGGGGAGAGAGAGAGAGAGAGAGAGAGAGAGAGAGAGAGAGATGATGAATTTTTTATTTTATGCCATGTAAGCAACAAAAGATATTTTCATGGCAAGTACATTTCATTACTGCATAAACTATTAAAAACAACCAACAAATAAATACAGAAATTAAACAGAGCGAGCGAGCGAGCGAGAGAGAGAGAGAGAGAGAGAGAGAGAGAACATGTTTGATCATTCCAGCAGAAACTCTAGAAGAACATGACCTACTTTAGTGACAGGAGAGTGTACTTACCGCATTCAATCTGCTCTTTGTGCTGCTGTGGGTGTGCAGCATGAGGCCGTCTCTTTCTTCAAGTGGAATCTCCAACATCTCCCATAATTCCTCAATGCGAGCTTGGATAGACACGCTCAGCGCTTCACTTTCAGCCTTCCTCGTCTCCAGCTGAAATTCAACACAAACCAAAACCTTCATTTATCGCTCGCCCTGATCTCACCTCTGCCACGTAATTTTTATCTGCCTGTTTACTGGAAGTTAAAGCCTGGATGAATCAAAATTTCCTTCAATTAAACAGTTCTAAAACAGAGGTTTTACTAACTGGCACTCCTACCAATGTTAACCAGTGAAATGATTTTAAACTCTTTGTTGGTGATCTTCAAGTGTCTCCTTCTACCCAGGTGTGCAACCTTGGGGTGCTTTTTGATGCACAGCTTAGTTTTAACTCGCACTTCAAACACTTAACTATAATAGCCTTCTTCCTCCAACGTAACATTGCGCAGATTAGACCTTTTTTATTGCGGCCTGATGCGGAAAAGCTTATCCATGCCTTTATCACATCACGTCTTGACTTCTGTAACTTACTCCTCGGGGGCCTACCAGCAAGCTCTCCGAGACGTTTACAGTACATTCAAAATTCTGCTGCACGGGTTTTAACACATACTTGCTCGCGCCACCATATCATCCCTGTACTTCAGCAACTTCACTGGCTTATGTTAAGTCACGTATTGATTTTAAGACTCTGATTTTATCATACAAGGTAGTGTATGGGCTAGCACCTGACTACATCTGTGACCTGGTAACTCTGGCCACTCCCACCCGCAGTCATCTACCTTCATCAGCAATTTCGTTGCATCAGCCATGCTGTAAACTGAAGACTATGGGTGGTCATGCTTTTTCATACAGAGCGCCTGAGTTATGGAATGGCCCACCCATCAGCATCAGGAATGCTGTTTCTCGGGAATGTTTTAAGAAACTTCAAGACTTACCTTTTTACCGTTGTTTAAACTTAAATTGATTTTTTTTTTTATCATCCTTGTATTGAATCACTCATATTTTATTGTGGCGTTTTGTTTTACTGTTTTTATTGTTCTGCTTTGTTTGCCTTGTATACCTGTTAGCACTTTGTGGTCTGAGAAAAGTGCATTATCAATAAAATGTATTATTATTATGAAATGATTATTCAAGATTAGTCATTTTGAATACAATCATCTACTGAACGAACAGAAATGCTATTAAAACTATTAGTAGGAATAATGAACAGCTATTGCTAGATTATTATGGTAGCAATACGGTATTTCCAGCTAGAAACTTGCGCTGCACTGCATTCTGGGATACCTGTCCCTCACATATATGAACTCGAGTTGTGAAATGCCATCAGCTGTTGCTGAAGTACTGGTACAAGAAAGCAAGTCATACTAATTTATGCCTAAAAATGCTAACACACTATTAGCATTTAATAAACGTTTATTTGAATTATAAACATGCTATATCATAATATAAACATGTTAATTCATGCTCTCCTCTCAGCATACTAATTTGTACTAGAAGCATGCTAATTTATGCTTAAAATGCTAACATTTTAATTCATGTTAATATGAACAAAAGCATGCTTGCATTGTGCTAACTAGTTTATGAGTTAACAGGTTTAGTCATTTTAGCATATTAACAAATTAAAATGTTTGCATTTAAGCATAAATTAGCATGTTACTAATACGAATAAACCCATTCATGCTATAAACATGCTAATTCATACTCTAAACATGCCAAGATAATGTTAAATTGTGCTAAAAACATGACAATTCACACTATAAACATGCTAATATAACTCAAACTAGAAACCCACCAATTAATGCTAATTATTAACTTTCAATATTTTAGTGTCTGTTTCTAATCGTTTTAACGCCTTCTTCCTGAGTAAATACTACATTTCATAATTGTTTAATGCAATATTATGACAGATTGATTCATGTTAACATGCTCATATGAACTAGCAGCATGCTAGCAATGTGCCAACCTGTTCATAGCATGAATTAACAGGTTTACAGAATGCGTTAGCACATTGCTAGCATGCTGCTTGTTCATATTAACATGAATTAAAAAGTTAGCATTTTTAAGCATATAGTAGCATGTTTCTAGTACGAATTAGCATGTTTATACCATGAATAAACAGATTTACAGTACATGCTAATGCTAAGAATGTTAAATTGTGCTAAAAACATGACATTTTATGCTATGAAACCAACTGGCGTTAATATAATTCATGCTTAATAACTTTTAATATTTTAGTGTTTGCTCTGTTAATCATTATAACGCCTTCATCCTGAATAAAAATTCTTGTTTTCTAATTTTTTTGTAATGTAATACTTTGACAGAATCAATGGTTAAACAATGGCACTATTTCTCATATTAGCCATGAGCATTTAATTGAATAAATGTGCGAGTACCTGCCGCAGTAGCACTTTAAGAGAGCTGATGTTTTCCACCGACAGACAGAAGGCATCTTCGTCCTCACACACTGCATCTTTCTCAAAGGTGGTGTCAGGACTCTGCTCCAAATCCTCCATCAACACGGTGATCTGACGCTTCATTTCCACAAACTCAGCATGACGGCGCTCCTGCAAACACACATACACACCATCACAATTCCAGCACCCAATGGATGTGTTTTTATAATCCGAGAGGCAATCTCTACTGCAGGCTGATGCCTTTAAATGTGAATTTATATATGAAAATATGAAGTGTCATGGCCATTTTCAAAACTGATAATGAACAATTTTCTGAGCATGAAATCAGACTAGAGCCACTTCTGGAGGAGTTATTAATGGATGAATAGACCATCCCATTGAACAACACAGGAATTATTATTATTAAATAAACTATATTTAATACAAAATATTACAATAAGTCATTAAATCATAACAATTAAAAAAAAATACAGTTTTATCTACCACTAGCTATGTTTTCATCCACCTATTAATATGCATATTTTGGATATGCGCATAAAAAAACGGATGGAAATGGCAAAATGAACATTAATTTTGAAAATGCACATATCAGAGTATGATAAACTTTTTATTCTATATGAAAAGATGCCCATAAACTAAGATGGAAACACTTTAATCAAACAAATTGTAGCGTGCGCGCTAAATTGAAAAAAATTAAATAAATAAATTGAATAAAATAAAGTCATGTGATATTGTTGTAAGAGATCACGTGATGATAAAATGTGTGTGGACAAACCAGCAGGCTGAGCACATCGTAAAACATCTGAAATGCTGTTTTGTTTTGGGGCGATGCAGTAGCGCAGTAGGTAGTGCTGTCACCTCTCAGTAAGAAGATCGCTGGTTCGAGCCTCAGCTGGGTCAGTTGGCGTTTCGTAGTGGAGTTTGCATGTTCTCCCTGCGTTTGCGTGGGTTTCCTCTGGGTCCTCTGTTTTCCCCCCAGAGTCATGCGGTACAGTGAATTGGGTAGGCTAAATCGTCAATAGTGTATGTATGTGCGTAAATGAGTGTGGATGGGTGTGGAGTGTCTCAGGGATGTGTTGCGGCTGGAAGGGTATCTGCGTAAAAACATGCTGGATAAATTGGGGGTTCATTCCGCTGTGGCGACCCCAGATTAATAAAGGGATAAAGCCGAAAAGAAAATGAATGAATGAATGTTGTTTTGGTCATTCTAAAATCTCTCAACCGTTTCAGTGTTAGTGTTATTATATTATATTGTATTATTAATCATCTCTAGAATGGTCAAGAGCATCTGAGCTTCGCGTCTCACGCCTTCAAATGCCAGCATGCATTCATTGCATGTCCACATTTGTCTTTTAAGGCACAAGTCATTTATGAAATATGGAAAAGATTCACGCAGCTTCTACCACAGCAAATTAAGCTGTTACTTTAGACATTTGGCACCAGACAATCAGGAAGTGACGATTGGAAACGCTGCTTTATTCGCATGTCTTTTATGCGATATTCCAATTTTGCTCATGAATTTAATTTGCATCTTTGGATGGAAACAAAGCTACTGTCACTAATCAAAATATAGATATAAACGTGCACCAAGCAATAAATAAAAACCGTTTTCACCATAGTGTTAGACAGAGTCCCAAAACACGCTTTCATCCAATCAGCATTAAGGGTGTGTCTAATAACCACTGCAGAGATTTCAAAAAAGGGGTGTGGTCTTGTTGGGCTATGAGCATGTTTGTTTTGGTGCTTTCAAATATCAACATTCATTCTTTAAAGGGCCATGACACCCCCCACTTTCGGTTAAAGTCTACTTCAGAATTTTTTAAAAAGATGCATGATTAATGGGCGTGGAGCTCCGCGAGCATAGGGCAGGAGTGGGCGTGGCCAGCAGGCTAGAAGGGGAGCGAACAACTGTTGATGTCAGTTAGTTCACAAAATGAGACAAAACGTGAGAGGCATTTCTCCAGTTTATAGTTTACAAAGTTAAAATGCAAAGAAATGAACAGTGATTTAGTGCCCTGCTACATTTGTTATACGTTATTTCATATACACATAACCACAATTTCTATCATTATAAAGATAAATGTGTTCATTTAAACCTTTACCAAAGACTTCTCCCTCAATCCCAGTATCCAGCAGACTCAGTGCAGCAGGTCTCCTGACATGTCTATTTTAACCATTAGCCCTGCTGGTAATCTGGAGGATTTAGGCGAACACGGCAGCACAGTGATGTGTCTGAATGTGAACGAACCCCTGATAAAAGACAGCGTCCGCCATTCTCTAATTCTCATGCTGCTCTCCCGACAAAAATGCTAGCAACACACACACAGCTTTGCTGTATGATCGGCCCTGACAAGATCGCGGGGGAAAAAATGCAACAAACCCCATGGATCATGGAAACAAACACATACGAGCCTTCATGAACGGCTACTGCGTCCCATTGGTCTGTGTCTCACAGCTTGCTTGAAACTGGCAGGTCTGCCTTCGGAATGCACGTGCTCTCATGAATAATTAAGCAGCTGGCTCTTCTCATAGGATAAGAAAACTCAGCTATGAATAATAATGAGAAACTGACGCGTCATCATTGCACTTGCAGTTCTGCGCTACGTCGCCGAATTTTGATCCCGCCCCAAAAATCATTTTAAACCCGGAAGCTGAAATTAGCTGACAAAAGCTCAAAATAATCCAGTTTTCCCCACAATTAAAGCTGACAGGTGCTAACATTGTCTTAACTGATGCTCAACACACACAAATTTGTTAATATAAAAAAAAAAAAAGTTCTCCAGGGTGTCCTGAACCTTTAAAACTTCAGAGGTTGCCACAGCCAATGAACAGCCAACTATTCCGGCATATGTTTTAGGGAGCGGATGCCCTTTCAGCCGCATCCCAGTACAAGGAAACACCCATACACACATTCACAATCATACACTACGGCCAATTTAGTTCATCTTATCCTCTTATAGTACATGTCTTTGAACTATGGGGGTATTCGGAGCACTTGAAGAAAACCCACACCAACACGGGGAGAACATGCAAACTCCACACAGAAATGCCAACTGGTCCGGCCGGGACTCAAACCAGCAACCTTTTTGCTGTGACGCAACAGTGCTAACTATTGGGCCACGCTGCCACCCAAATATCAACACTGATAGGCAAAAATTACTTGACTTGAAAAAAATCTGCATGCACTTCTGATGTAATGATTGCTTGCTAAAGTAAAGCACAAGACTTATTTCAGTATGTTGATCTACTTCCCCACAACATACTCAATATTTCGTATGGCTTTCTTTTTGCGCATTATACCCTCAACTAATGGTAAGAGGTTACGAATATTGTGGGTAAACCGACAGAAGCAGCACTACTCCAAATGTGGAAACAAATGTCAGATTTCAATTAAAGATTACCAAAAAACATTTTTTTGTGGGTTAACTTGCATATTAAATATTCACCTTATGAAAAAAATATACTCAACAGCTTTTTATATCTTGAAAAAGACAGACAGTACGAGACGTTGATCCTTTTACCTTCTCCTGGTTGCGTGTGTTGATGTGCTGCCTGTAGTTCTGCAGCTGCTGCTGTGAAGGCACGCGTTCGGGATGGATGGGGAACAGGTCTTCACACAGGACATCACACAGATCTTGATCCTGCTGAATCAGAGACTTCAGCTCAGTCTGGCGAGAGCTCTTTTCTTTAAGCATCAACTTGACCTGCGTGCGGAGGTCCTTCTCCAACTGCAGCATCGTAAGGCCATCTTCCTCCTGCCAAAGCACAAACAAAAGCCCAGTCAATTAGATGAGAGCTTTGGATAAAAGCGTCTGCTAAATGACTAAAAGTAAATGTATAAAATGAGTGGAAGCTAGAAAACCTTACTGATAAAGGTACAGTTCATCCAACAATGAAAATTTTGGCATCATTTATTAACTATCATCTTGTTCAATACACTTTTAAGCTTCTCAAAAATAAACTATTTTGAAAATGTATAAATAATATATAAGAAAAAAAATATATATACATATACGGTCAGAATTATTAAACCCCCTGAGTTGTTAGCAGCCCCCGCTTATTTTTTCCCCTATTTCTGTTTAACAGAGAAAAATTTTTCTCTTAACACATTTCTAAACACAATAGTTTTAATAGCTCATTTCTAATAACTGATTTCTTTCATCTTTGCCATGATGACAGGACATAATATTTGACTAGATATTTTTTAAGACACTTCTATACAGCTTAGAGACATTTAAAGGCTTAACTAGGCAGGTTAGAGTAATTAGAAAAGTTAGTGTATAATGATGGTTTGTTCTGTAGACTATCGAAAAAATATATAGCTTAAAAGGGCTAATAATTTTGACCTTAAAATTGTTTTTAAAAAAATTAAAACTGCTTTTATTCTAGCTAAAATAAAACAAATAAGACTTTTTCTAGAAGACAAAATATTATCAAACATACTGTGAAAATTTCCTTGCTCTGTTAAATATCATTTAGGAAATAAATAAAAAATCTATCTATCTATCTATCTATCCGTCCATCCATCCATCCATCCATCCATCCATCCATCCATCCATCCATCCATCCATCCATCCATCCATCCATCCATCCATCCATCCATCCATCTATCTATCTATCTATATAAATATAGCATACACACATTTATTTATATATGAATAAAGCAATAAAATAAATAAAATTAAAATAATAAAAATCTGAAAACCGGCAGCCATTGACCTCCATAATATGTTTTTATTTGTTGAAAGTCAGTGGTTTCTGGTATCCCACTTTTTTCAATGTGTTCAATGAAATAAAAACAAAAAAAAAAGAAAAGAAACTCAAAGGGTTTAACCCACATGAGTGATAAATTTGTCTTTTTTTGGGTGAACTATCCCTGTAACAAAAGTACAGTCAGACAAAACCTCATCATTTGAAGAGTTTATGCCTTCTCAGAGTTTTATAGAGAAAATGTTTGTTGAGGTATAAACTCAAAACTGCAAGAAATGAGTAGCGAGAAGCTTAGAACCTACAAATTGAGAAACGGTTGCAGTTCAGAAGTGGGAAAAAGCAGAATAGAGACTGAATCTCATAATAGGAAAAAACAACAACAACAAAAAAAAAAACTTCTTATTCTTAAAATTGAAAGGCAAAGATTCGAAGATGTTAACTCAAAATCATGGATCGCAAATATTATATGAATACAAGTATAACATCTTGTAATTCCTATAAATATATAAATATATATATTTTTTTTTTCTTTTTTTCCCCTTTATTCCATGGAGTAAAAAATAGGGTTTTACCACTTTAAAATACAAGGTACATCCACATGAAAAATATTAAACTTATACATGTCAACGCTATATTGGAAACATCAACTCCTTTAAGATTTACTTAAAAAATATAAAGGATTTAGATAAAATTAAAACAAGAAAACTACATAAACTAAAACCCAACTTACACCACAGACAGATGCCGAACATATATATGAACATATACATTTTTATTTATTTATTTTTACAGCAAGAGCAATTCATAAAAAATAAACACAAAAGCACAATCAAATAAACACAAAATAGTTTGGATGAGATTTTTAACATTAATATATGATAACAATTAACTGAATATCATGTAATAAAAAAACTGCAATCAGTAAAATTGGGAAACTTCTAAGAAATTCTACGCCCAACAAGCACCATTTTAGCATGTTCATTCAGCAAACAACAAGCTCCAACAGGCTAACAATTATCTTGAGGAAAAAAACAAAGAGTCTGTTGCCACCTATCTGCCTCTATTGCTGGGGTGTGAACGGAGTTTAGCAGATAATGTTTGCCAGGGCAACAACATTTTACCTGAAAACCGTAAAACTTTTAATGAAATCGATAATAACCGAAAACCACAAATTAGTTATGCAGTTATCCAAAAAATCCTGAATCAGTGACTCTCACCTGAAACTCCTGCAGCTGGAGTTCATCACACAGACTGGACACTTCATTTCTGCATGCTTCAATACTTGTCAGCAAGCGCTTCTTCAGTCCTTCCTCCTCTGCAATCATCATGTCCAGCAGATTCTGAAGTCATAACAGGGAGGAATTAATTAACACTGAAACTCTGAGAGTGTCCGGTTAATGAGAAATGTAGACAAGCTGAACTGACCTTGATGTGCATGTGCACGGCATCGGTACGCTGCAGCCTCTGGTCTTCTGGGATCCCGATCTCCTCCCAGATGTCTTTTAGCTGATTGAGAGCCTTGTTCAGACTCGATACAGACTCTGCAGCGTGGATCTCGCTGAAAACAGTCAAATCCAATTAAAATGGATACGTAATTTGTTTTCTTTTCGGCTTAGTTCCTTTATTAATCAGGGCCCAATATTCCTCAATCCAAGACATTAGTTTTACTTGCCTAGAAAATGCTTCTTGATTTAAGAATTTGTAGATATTTGGACTAGAAACAAGACAATCTCTATGTAAGAAAAGCATTTTTGCGGTGTGTATACGCATAAATGTAATTAATTCCAAGTAAAGTATTTAACGTTCATGTTTAAAACACATTTTCAGAAGAAAAAAAAGTGTTAAAACATTGGTGAAATAATGTTATATTTCTATTCAGTGCAATAGATTGTTTTCATATGTAACAAATCTTCAGACAAATAAAAAAGCAGATAAAAATTAGTTTAATTTGATTTTCAATTATTAAATGATTAAGATTTTTGGTTTTCATATGACCCGTTATAAATATGACTTGTGTGTGTGTGTGTGTAATATACATGTGTAATATATATATATATATGTGTGTGTAATATATATATATATATATATATATATATATATATATATATATATATATATATATATATATATATATATATACATACATATATATATATATATATATATATAATGGCACTATTCAAAATTATTTTTAATCAGACCTTATGAACGTTTTAATGACATTACAATATTACTATAAATTAAGTGTTTAATCCTTTGTTAAACAAGTCTTTTCTTTATTTTATACTTCTGTATATCAATTAAATATTTGGCGAAGTTATTTTATTGTAATATAATATACACAACTTAATATTCAGTTATAAGGACTACCTTATAAGTGTTAGTTGATAAAATTATTGTAGTGTAAATGCATACTTCCAATGTGCAAGCATTTTAACACTCCTATGCATAACCCTGTAATACATGAATTATACTTTTACACTTCTGGAAGATTTAATAAAGCAGATTAGCAAACTAAATAAAAATAGCAAATTGCAGAGAATCACATAGAAAATCTAATATTTATCGAGAAACTGGTACTCTTTTCAACTGAAAATGTGCTTCAAATATTTAATTACATAGTTGGCCCTCCTCAAATATGTCTTAAGTATTTTATTAGACAATTGTGTGTGTGTTAGTCTCTTTACACAAAAAACTGTGGTGGTTTTCTTGTAGTCCAGGGGTGTCCAAACTCAGCTCTGGAGGGCCGGTGTCCCGCAGATTTTAGCTCANACTTGCTTCAACATACCTGCAAGGATGTTTCTAGACTGCCCAGTAAGAGCTTGATTAGCTAGGCCAGCTGTGTCTGATTGGGATTGGGAACTCAGCTTTGCAGGACACCGGCCCTCCAGAACCGAGTTTGGACACCCC